GTTATGTAATTTAATTGAACCATCAACAGGAACTAATATAGATTTAACAGCAACAACAGTAACCATCAACGGAACGTTTGTTGATTCATCTGATTCAAGATTGAAATATGATATAGACAATGTCAAATCTAATTGTATGAATATTATTAAGAAATTTAAACCGAAGAAGTTTAAGAGACACGATAGAAATGATAACGGTAAAACTCATATAGGATATATAGCAGATGAAGTATTAAAAGCAGTTCCTAAAGAATTTGAAAATGTTGTTAGCAAAGACAGAGAGTATTTAGGATTAAATTATTTAGTTTTACCCGTGCTAGTTCATAAAGCAGTGTTAGAATTAAATGATAAAGTAGATAAACTTGAAAAAGAAATTAAGGAATTGAAAAAAGAAAAATCTAAATAATAATATATAATGGGTATTGGTCAAAGTAAAAACGATGAAAATAACAGTATGGAAGACATTAAGAATTTAAGAGTAGATGAAAAAACAAGAGCGGATACTTTAATAATTAAATCTATTCAAGAATGTGTGGCAAGGATTGAAAGATTAGAAAGTCAAAAATCGGACAAACTAATATATAAATTACCTGCGTTGAATTTATGCAACGCTTCATTAATTTAAATCAAAAACATTAAACAATAAATTTAATGTTATTGATTAGTGATTTTCAAATATTGTGAAAAGTTTTTCATAAACATTTTATCTGGGTTCTTTTCTAAAAGGTTAATATATAAAAAAAACTATGCGGCTCATCAGTGGCAGTTTCATATATTTTATAAATTAATTTCTTGCTTTCGTGTAAATTATCGCTTCTAACAATTGCTGATAATTCATCTTGTAATATTTCTATCTCTTTGTAGTTTCTAACTTTATAATAAAACAAATGACTTATATTTACTCTAATAATTGGTGGCACGGTTGATGATTTTTGAAGACTGACAAGTGTTGATATTCCACTATGGCGACCTCTACAAAATAAAGAATTTAACAATTTGTTATTTCTTGTTATTGCTGGATTATCAGATACATCATCCAAAATTACCAAAATATTAAATAATTTCTTCGTTCCTTGCTTTTTCTGGTATTCAATTATTTTATTTTGAGTTTCTATAACTCTTTCTAAATCTTCAACATTGAACTCATCCCACCAACACGGTTCTTTATCATTATCTACTTTCAAACCTTCCTTAATGTATTTTTTAACAGGCAACCAAATACTATCTAAATTTACTGATGGTGACCAGATAAAAATTCTTTCAAATGCACCTCTATAAATATCAAGTATCATTGATACAAGTAGCGTCGATTTTCCAGAGCCTGACGGGCCCACAATCATAGCTCTCATCGGCAATTTAGGGACGACCTCGTGCTTGCTTTGCTTAAAGTCATATTTGATTTCGTCAATTGGTTTTACATCAGGCATAATAAAATAATATTAAAGATATTTAGAAAATAATTTAATATTATTTATTGTATGAAAGCATTGCTATGATATGAATGGTGTCCATCGTAGTAGAACAGGCTCTTTCATCAACTTCAATCAATAAGCATTGAAGATAATTAGTTTTGTGTCTTGCTCGCGTGTGCAATGAAAACCCAAGTGCTGTGCCCCACCAATATTCTATTATGCATGAAAATAATAAGATCAAATAATTATTTTTAATAATTATTTCATCTTATTATTTAATATGGATAGAAGTTATTCAGATTATATTGATATAATAGATGAAGTAGAGAATATAGAACAAGTAATAATAACTGACAACAGATGTAAGAAAGTATGCTTTTATACATTAGAATTAATAAAATTAGGAATACAATATATCAAAAATAAAAATGTAAATATTAATATAAATGGGAAAAAAGAAAAACAAAAAGAATAAAACAGATACTACAGTTTCTTCAACAGATGAAGACAAAGAAGAAGAAATTGTTAAAGAAACATCAGTTATTGAGTTTGAGTGTCCTATGTGTAGAAAGATGTTAGCAATGAAGAACGAATTAGAAATTCAAAAGAAAGGAAATTGTAAATGTTCGTGTATTCCGACAAATTTCAAATTGAGTAAAAACGATAAGAAAATGAATATTGATAAAACTAAAGACAGTATCAACTTAGAAACTGATGTCCATAATATAACTTTTAAATGGGGAAGGCATGCATCACCATCCGATAATGGTGATAACGAAGCACAGGAAACTATTAAACAAATGATGAAAATCTAGTATTTAAAGAGTAGATTTTACATTAATTCAATTTTATGAATAAATAAGTAAATAAATAAATATCTAATTATTTGTATAATCATAATGCCAACTATGAATAGAGAAGACCATAGAGTTATAACTTTTGACGATGAAGAAATTAAAGACCTATTCAATGGTGATGAAAACTTTGCTAAACAATTGAGCGAAGAATATTTTTATTGGTTTGATGCTAAATTCAAGGATAAATATTTTATGAAAGGTATAACTAAACCAGATAAATTTAATAAAATATTGAAATTTTATGAACTCACAAATGACAAGGAAGGTTTAATAAAAATGAACAATAAAATTGGCGAAAGACTGTTAGAATATGATTTATTTACATATGTAACATTATATTATTTAGGTAAACTGTATAATAAAACGCATAAATAAATATTTAAATAAATAATTATATAAATAAATATATATAGAAATGTCTGAAGTTGAGAATGATGCTATTGCTGAACTATCAAGGAAGATAATGACAGTTAGTAAAAATGTTAAACTGTTGCACGAGATGATAAAAACTATTGACCAGACACTTGATGCAAAGGCAAACGAACCAAAAGATAACAATGAAGAGAAGGAAAATATTGATAAGATCTTTGAAAAGAAAGGGATAGGCAGACCCAGCGGTGATTATGACACGAAGCGTAAAAAATATTGTGATATGTTAAATAAGGGACAAATCAAAAGTCCAAAAGAACAAACATTAGAATACTATAAGATTATTAAGGAAGATGATAAATATGTATATTTCTAAAACATTATCTAAATCATTCTAATAAACAATATGAATTTATTAGAATTATTTAGTGGAACTGGAAGTGCAGGAACCATAGCAAAGTCGCTTGGATTTAATGTCATCTCATTAGACTTGAAAAATGCTGATATTAATTGTGATATTTTGGAATGGAATTATAAGCAGTTTGACAGAAACCATTTTGATTCTATTTGGAGCAGTCCCCCGTGCACCGAATACAGCAAAGCAAAAACGACAGGAATTAGGAATATTGAATATGCTAATAGTATTGTCTTAAAAACTATTGAGACTATCAAATATTTCAATCCAAAATATTTTGTAATCGAAAATCCTCAAACTGGATTATTAAAAAATCAGGAGTTTATGAATGAGTTTGATTTTGAAGATGTTGATTATTGCAAATATGGATTTAATTACAGAAAACGCACTAGACTTTGGAATAACATTACGAATTGGACACCTAGAGATTTATGTAATAGAGATTGTGGAAAAATAAGGAATAATAAACATATTGAAACTGCGCATCGACTGCCATCAAAAACTAAAGCAGAATGGGGGGATAGTTATGTAATACATAAGCAGGAAGATTTATACAAAATACCTGCTGAATTGATTTGTGAGATTTTGACGAGTTTGAGGGGTTAAGGAATTTAGGGGGAACATTCCCCAAGGTTATGGGGAATGAGTTCTGGATTGATGGGGAATGAGTTCTGGATTGATGGGGAATGAGTTCTGGATTGATGGGGAATGAGTTCTGGATTGATGGGGAATGAGTTCTGGATTGATGGGGAATGAGTTCTGGATTGATGGGGAATGAGTCCTGGATTGATGGGGAATGAGTTCTGGATTGATGGGGAATGAGTTCTGGATTGATGGGGAATGAGTTCTGGATTGATGGGATTTGAAGACATATTGCCTGACTATTATTTTAACCCATAAACCTTACAATAAAAACATTGTAAGATTTATGTTTTGAAATTATGGGGATTTTATATTTTGGGATTTTGGGAAATTATATTTTGGGAATTTGGGATTTTTAAGATGGTTTTGACCTAAAGGGAAGTTAAGACACTATAGTAAGGATGGATGAACCTGAAAAAACAAAATGCACTTCATGTAGATGTAAAAAACTTCCTAGTCAATTAGTTGCTGGGAAAACTTGGTGCATAGTTTGCGCAGAAAGTTGGAAGAGGTATAGGGCAACAAATCCAGAAAGAATTAAGGAGGTAAGCAAGAAATATGATGCTGAGCACCGCGAAGAAAAAAATGCATATAATCAAAATGAAAGAGATTGTGAGGTTTGCGGTTGTAAAGTTAAAAACCCTAACTGGTCTAGACATTTGAAATGCAAAAAACATATTGATAATTTAATCCGCGATTTGTAAGGATGCTGGTAGAATTTTATGATATAACTTTATCATAACATTTTATATCTGTGACAATTTATGTAATAAGTTTGTGTGGCGGGACGATGTCTGTATGGGGGCAAGGTCTTTGGTAGGTGTTAAAACGTTCAGCTGCCCCTGTGTTGGGGTTTGAACCCCTGGCTTTTGTAGAGGATGAATGGACCCCGCAACCTCCCACCAATAAGAGGGATGCTGATGGGAAGTCCTCCCAATTGGGCCCAATTTCTGGTACGTATTTCCAAAAAATCAGTGCGGCACGTTAAATGGCACCTGGGTCCAAAAAGGGGCCATCCTTTTTCACAAGCCTGGTGGCCAAAAATTGAGTGCCTGAGACATGTACCTTCAACCATATTCAAAAGGATTATTGCATACTTGGTCAACGGGTAGCACCGTGAAACAAGTTGGTTGCCCCCGGGAATTCATGTTGAGTGCATTCATGCCGCGTGAATCCAACTAGCCCGGGCAACCAAGGGGCTTTCATTATGTAAGACCTAGGGTAGCATGGCTACAGTGTTAACTGGATCCGCTAAGATCGCTGAAAAAATGCATCTGCCCCAATTTCTGCGTGCTCAGAGGCAACATGTGCTTCAAGGCCTGTGCTGAAGGTCCCCTTCTTCTGGATTCCGTACCTCAGGATGGTCAATTCTCGCCCAGATGTCTGGAGCTGTAGATTTGCGGCAAACTTTAGGAGCCCCAATGGGCTTCATACGGCAAACACTACCTAGGTAAGCATGCTGCTGGAACTGCACGTCATATGTTTTTGGGCGCTCAATTCACTTTATGTTGACCTGTTATGAGGTGTTCTTAATAGCAGTTCGATACCACCTGTGTGTGTGTGTGTGGGTGCGTGCGTGCGTGCGTGCGTGCGTGCGTGCGTGCGTGCGTGCGTGCGTGCGTGCGTGCGTGCGTGCGTGCGTGCGGGCGGGCGGGCGGGCGGCGGCGGGCGGGCGCCGGGCGGGCGGGCGGGCGGGCGGGCGGCGGGCGGGCGGGTGGGCGGCGGGCGGGCGGGCGGCGGCGGCGGGCGGGCGGGCGGGCGGGCGGGCGTGCGTGGGTGTGTGTGTGTGTGTGTTTGCGCGCATGTATACAAGTGTAAGTGTAACTGCACGTGTAAGTGCAGTTGTTGCAAGTGTAAGTGTAAGTGCAAGTGTGTTTGCGAGTTGATTTTTGTTGGTGTGTGTGTGTGTGTGTGTTTGCGTGTGAGAGAGAGAGAGAGTGTGTGGGTGTGTTTTTGAGGGTACCCGTTTCAGGGATCCGTTTTTTGTTTTTTGTTTTTGTTCCCCCTAGGGCTGGTTTTTTTTACTAGGGCTGGTCCCCTGGTTCGTTGGTTGTTTGGTTGTTTGGTTGGTTGCCGTTCCCCCCTTTTTAGGTTGGTTTTTGGGGAAACTCAAAGGACACCAAGCGAGTCCGTCCAGCCCGCCAGGCAGCCGTAGCAGACGCCCCACCAGTGGAGCTTGCAGAAAGTTTGCCTGCGCTGCAGGAGAGATTTGCATCCGGAACGGGAGTTACTGCAAATGGAGCGGTGTTCGTTTAGTGTACCCTGTTGGGGATGATTTATATAAAGGGATGCCAAAGGACAACCACTGTGAAGTCCGCATTGCGAAACATAAATGGCGACCTCTGCCCTTTGGTATTTAAAGCGAAGCCAACGATTTGAGCGGACTCCTATTTAAGCCCTATCACTCAAAAGGGTGCTAAGTATATAGGACACTTCAACAGAGAGCCACATGGAACCACCTCCACAGTGGTTGGTGGAACCCCCCCTCAGGCCTACCAAAGGGTGTCCAAAAGCAGTTCCTTCCTGGTCTTGCAGGGGTTAGGGCCATGCGAAACCTCTACAACCACCGTAGGACCAAGTCAATTGCGTGCAGCTCACATGACTTTGTGCCCTAACCCTAACCCTACCCCGGGAGTGGGAGGAACCCCATTAATCAGTAGGTTCCCACGACAAAAAGCCAAACACAATCTGAAAATGAGGATTTGGAGCGCCACAATGAGTGGCTTGGAAAGGAAAGTCCTTTCCGAATCCCAACATGTTTGCCTTTCAGCTTGCTACTTCACGTTTTGGACAAGTCTTCTCAGAAGGGCTGGGGGAAGTATAGGGAGCCCTGCCTTTCGAATTATAAGATTTTTGCCTTCGGTTTGCCTTCCGATCCCAGGTTCCCTACGACATGTTGTGTACAGTGCGCAGGTTGCGTACGGCACGAAGACTTGGGAGGTAAAAGGAGTTGAGAGTTGCCATGCGTCGTCTGTCTCACAGACCCATTCACATGGCTTCCTTTGGTTTCCCTTTTCTATGGAAGGCGCAACACATGTGGCCAGATGAAACCGCAGCGGGCTCGCGGCCGATTGCCGCTCGGCAAGCCAAAATGCAGGTGGGTGAGCTCTGTGGGCTTGTCGTTTTGTTGAGGGTTGGCATGTTTGTCCAAGACTGCAGTCATCTTGACAGACGGCCCAAACCTCCACTTTCTTCTTTTTCTGCGAAGGAGGGTATACACAAGGATCTACATAATTATAAACTTTCCCCTGTGGTTCTATGAATTTTGCACCTTTGGGGGCTCCTTTAAAGGTTGACCTAAACCTTGCCGAGAGGATTTCCTGCGTGCCAGAATCAGAAAAAGACGCCGGAATTTCGGTGTGGCCAAGCAATCGAGGTTCCAAGTTTTTACGTACGCCACATTCCATGTTTTTTCGCGCCCCCCACACCCCATTCCATTTTTTCCCGCCCTCTGGGGTCTCCTTTAACAAAAGTTGTTTCCATATGTTTGTGCAGGCCTACCCCCAGTGAAGACCGAAACTTTGCAGCTTCGGCTTGCCGCAGGAGACGGTGCGGGCGTTGGGCTTCCCCACAGGCCGACGGGACGGGAGTCTATTCAAAGCGCCGGTGCCCGGTTTTCCTTGGTGGTTCAACCAGCCATCCGGTTCAACTTAGGTTAGTTGTTTTTGTTTTGTTTTTAGCTTTGCACGCATAGTGGGGTTTCTGAACTTGAGCCACTGAAAGTTATTCACTTTTAGCAGGGGATCTGAGGGCAGCCCAGCTACTTGGGTGTTCGATTTGCCAAGTAAGCTGTTGGCAACCGTTCGGTTGTATCCCGCTGAATTATAAGTCCCCCGTGAACGTGGGGTTAGCCCGGTTATTTGTGGTAAAACCAAGCGGCTAACCACTCCCTCAGAAAGTGAGGAACCACCCCCGATCGTCAGCTTCCATGATTGAAGAGAGCGAAAAACAGGTGTAGCCGGGCTAGAATATAGATATTTTACCAGTTGGTTCAGAGGATTCCCGTGTAATCAAAGAAGATGCAGGTGTGAAATCCGTGTGGATTGAGACACTCATGTTAGGGGCTGAATTATCACTAAAATTATTATCTTACAATTACGAATCAAACTAGTGTTTTATAGTATCCCGCCACGTTGACGATTTATTACATACATTGCGGTATATGCCTCGTGTCAACCTCCTATGTTTGGCTATTTTCAGAGAAGCCTTGTTGTGTTGGTTGATGATTGAGGGGACATGTAAGAACACGGCCGTCCGCTATCCTGAGACAGACCCATTGGATGAATGCTCAGGTGCCTCCTCCCCTGTTCTTTCCAATAGCGTTAGGATTCGGCTGGAGCCAGAAAGGAGCGCTCATGCGGTATGTCAAAGCAAGGTCTTGCGTCAGTTTCAACGATGGCTTGTGCATTGATGCTATAATGTGGAATTGTGGATGTATGCGACACATGGGTTTGTCTTTTTTGAGGGGACCCCCTAACACCTTCTTTTTTTTCTTGTGGCGTCCCTTTAAAACCACCAAACAAAAGGGTGCCCTCAAAAAAAAGAGACACACACGCACACCCAAATACCAGTGGAACGATGTTTGTCGCCACAAAGCAACCCGCCCAGGACCCCCCCCATGTTTGATGCGAATCCAGCTCATGTCCGCCCCTTCCAACAAAGAAAGAACACACACACAACCAACAGCTGCAGCTGGGTTGTTCTAAGCCCCCAACATGATGGTTTTATTGTTGCTTTCCCAACAAACACCTACCGCAAAAAAGGGGATTGCGAGCCTCAAGCAAAGACGAGGCACCTGTATTTCTTCGCCATTTGATTTTGATTTGAATTTAATATTATTGCTACATCTGTACCTGTATTCAAGATGCATATTTTGCTTCAAGCCAATTTGGTTCATTACCCTTTACAGTTGGGGGGGAAAGAACACTTGTTGTTCTAAATGTTTGACAATTTAGCAGAACACCGCCTCGATCCGATAAAGCTCAGGCGGGCGCACGCTTTGTATCACCGAGGGCGTGGTGCCGGGACCTCGGTTTTTTTTGGCGCAGGTTTTTGGGAGAGGTCTGGGCGGGGGGGAACCCCCCGAAGGCTCAAGGAGGCCTAGGGAACCTCAAGGAAGCCCAAGGAAGCCTAGGGTTGAACTAGGCTTCCTTAGACTCTCAACCACCCCCTCTTCTACCCTGAATGGGATTTCCTAAAAAAAAATGTGAGGTCAGAAAAGCCCAGGATTGGAGTTGATAAATCGGGGGCCCACAAAAAGCCACGTCCCGGTGTCTCCCATCGTATCCTGTTTGTTGAGGGTTTGTGTTACCTTCTTTTTGGTCAAGGGAAACCAAACGGAGAACTGTTGAGCCATTTTTACCTTTTAAATAAGCGCCCAACCCCTCCCCCCCCCCCCAACAGGGCCGTTGTAGTAGGTTCTACTTCCCCTCATTGCGTAGACCTTCACAGCTATGTTAGTAGAACCAAGGGTCAACGGGTGTTGGGCGCTGCTCAAGCGTCACCCTTTGGCCACATACTGTCTGATGCAGAAGCCGCCTTTGGCAGACTAGTTTCCTCAGCCCATTGATTTGAGGTGCAACCCACAGGCCTCGGACGACCTTTGAAAGTGCATCCTGAGGTGCCAAACTCCCAAAAGGGGGAGGCAAAACCACCTTGGTATATGTCACGTACCAGTTCTCATCATGTGACAAGGGAGCAGTTCAAATGTAAGATGCTGACCATGTGTCTTTTTCTCCCCGAAGCGATGAGCCTTGTCTGTAATGCAAGCCGTCCTCGCACGTATGGGAGGGGCGTAGGTGTCTTACTGGTTTCAGTTTAGTGCCATCGATTCGTCCAAGAAAAAAACAACAACAACTTCAAGCCGTAGGGCCCGTACCTAGTCTCGACTCTGAGAACCTTTGGTCCTGTTGCTTGGGTATGCAAATTGACTTCACTAGAGTGTTTTCTCACTTCTTGAGTTCTTGGACTTTAAACACGCTTCTTGGGAAGACCATTTCAGTGGCAAAGAAGCAGTCTGGACTTGTTTGGGAAGTGAGTTTTAGCCAGTCGCCTCGGTTCTTTAGATTCGAGGCGCGGGAGCCCCACATTTCGACTGGCTCATGTGGGCGTGGTTCCCTGTTTTTGAGCTACCCTTTTCAGGCTGGTGGTCGAATGGCCAAAAGGAAGCCACGGATGTTGGGGAACCAGCTCCGAATTCGACAGGCGCTGATGGCACTGGCCTAGATTTGGTGTATCCCATGTACCAGGGCCATCTACGTTTTCCACAGGAACACCTTCTAGTTTTTGGTGGTTCCCAGCCATCCCCTCGTTTTTATTGTTTTTAGTGTTTGGTGGTTGGATTTCCATTCAACCCACTAACAGTTAGCCACTTTTAGCGGGGCTGAGGACAGCCCAGGGTTGGGAAGCCCTTTTACCGTTTCTTTTTTGTGCGAGGCTTCCCCTACTAGACCACAGAAAAAAAGATCGGGCACCCATATTCTAACCTCTCAAATCTGGAGGACCTCGTCACCTTCTTACCTTTTAAAAACACAACTTTTCAACTTTTTGGGTAACATGGGCTATATGTCTGTAAAAGACTAACTTCCCCAGGGCTTGGAGTTTTAAGGGGTAAGCCTTGGTTGAGAAGCCTATTGTGTTTTTTTCGCCTTGGGCGCTTCTTAGCGTCGGTGTCGGCTCGGGACGGTTGTCGTCAGGTCACGGGTCGACTCCATTGAGCTGACTCCGCCGGCAGACACCACGCAGCTCGGTCGGGTGGGACCTATGGGCTGCGTGGTTTCGTTGTTCTCTGTTTGTGGCGGTAGCAGCTGAAAAGCACCCCTGGTAAATGAAGGTGATTCAACTGCTACGGAAGGTGATTAAAGCTTTTCGTGTTTTTGTTTTTGGCGGTAAGCCAAATTGAACACCCTGGTAAATGAAGGTGATGAAGGGGAAAAAGCCCAGCCATAAACGGGTGCAGCCTTTAGATGGTTCTGGGTAGACCATGAACAATGCCGATCGGTTTTGATTCTGACAAGCAGGTTTGTTTCAGGGAAGCGGAATGGGACACCCATCATTGTCGTGTCCCCGGATAGCCATATCATGGGCCTTGGACATTGGGGCCCTGGGGGGAGTGGGCGAAAGTTTGCTGGGACTTGCGGTTGAAAATACCGCTGGTCTCCAAGGCAAATGGCAGACCAACTGGGCCAGTGCGCTTGCGCAAGCAAATGTGGTTTTCCTTTTTCCACCCGCTTGGTGCAAGTCAAGAGATCCTTTGGGCATCCTTTGGGAGTTCCACCAACCACTTTGGAGATAACTCCACGTGGTTCTCTTGATTTGCGTGGCTCCATGTATTTAGCACCCCTTTTGAGTGACCTTTCTTTTTCGGGTACCCTTGGTGAAGAGTTCTACTTCACCGGAATCATTTCACGGGCCGCTCCATTTGCCTCTTGTTGAACCTCCCAAAGTGGCGATCCGTTTTAGTGAAACCCAGCAGTAAAGTCTGGGGTAGACTTAGGATATTTATTATTATCATTATTTTGCCAGTGACTCAAAGTGAAGCAAACCAGAAAGTATACATTCTATAACTGGGCCTAGCTCGAATCATGAGTTGATCAACTTTTGCACGGGGCAACTCCCGGGTCCCGGCTCGAGCCGCTCGGGAAAATGGGTCGGAACATGAGGCTAGTGATTCAGATCGATGCTGCCATCAACCCTGGCAATAGCCCCTTGGCTGGGGCAAGGAACCAAGCAGGAAGCACGAGAAACCACGAGACCGGGGTCAAGACCCCTCTGTTCTCACTCCCTCACTCCTGCCATGTCAGGCTTTGCGGCTTTGGAGGGACCATTTGAGTGGCGCGTGGAGGTTTTTGGGCCAGTCCACTCGATCGGGTGTGTTGTGACCATCTTAGTAAAGTTCAGACGAGCGATGGGGAGGAGTAGAACCCAGAAAGGTAATGCAAGTAGCTGGGCGCTTTGTCAGGGTATTCATGATACCCTTTGCAGGTCGGTTCACCGTGAAACCCACAAGAAAACCAACATTCTTCCCCCCAATTTTGATACATACCCATGTCAAGCGGACGAACCATGCTCACTTTCGTCCGTTCTTGTTCATCTTGTTTCGTGTGCTTTTCGTCAGAATGATCTCAGTCCCGAGTCGTGAACAGGAGCTGGATGTTGCATCAAGTGGATGAGACAGAGAGAGAGAGAGAGAGATCGAGAGAGCGAGAGAGAGAAAGAGAAAGAGAAAAAGAAAGAGAAAGAGAAAGGGAATGGGAAAGAGAAAGAGAAAAAGAAAGGGGCGGGGCATTTGCCTTCCGGCCAGATTTCGGGAACTTGCCTGTTGAGCTGCTTGGCGAATGCGTTCTACTTGATTGAATGGATCTTAGAGCCGGACAGGTGTTTGTTTTGTGTGCGGTGTTCTGGAAGCCAGCTGCACATATCGTTAGGGCTATGTTCTCCTTTCCATTCAGTGCTTTGATACGCGCACACGCAAACACAAGGACTACTGAAGCAACGATTTCAGCTATGCTGAATATCACATAGTTTCTAGGGACCCTGGCTTCATTGTCACCGACTTTCACAGGGTGTGATCAAGGCTTGTTCCTTTCAGCCCCCCCCCCCCCGCCTCCTTGCGCACGCTCTGGGGGGCAGTCTGCCATTCTGTGTTCACTCCTGACTCTAAACTCTATGAACCAGCGGTAGCCACAAATCACGTATGGTACAGTCTCACTTCCCGAGTTTGACTTTAAGACCACACGTGGGAAGCAAGCCAAAGGTGCAAGAACCATTGAATTCAACAAATGGAGGAACTGAACCAACGAATATAGAGCTTCCCTCTGGCTTGGAGCCCGCTGGTCTGAGGCGGTGGCCCGGTCTTCGACAGCCGGGGCTATGTGGCCGGTGTGGCCTTCTGCAAGGAGAGCCGACCAAACGGCACGGACTTTTTTCTGTTCTTTTCTTTTTGAAAACAAGGCGATCCAGCATCCGAGAAGGTGGGGTGGTTCAACCAACCATCCGGTTTTTCTTAGGTTCTTATAGCTTTTCTCCAGAGGGTTGTGGGATTACTCGGGGACGTTTCTGCGATATCTTTGGGAATCCCCGCTTTTTCTCTGGGTAGTCTTCGGGGCTCCTTTTGTTACCGATGTGGATTCCATTTCCCACAGCCCTGCCCCAGTATCCGAGAGGGGTGGGGTGGTTCAACCAGCCATGCGGGTTTCATCTTATAGTTTTCTTAATAGCTTTCTAGTTGGTGTATATAGTGGTTGGGTTTCCGAATTTCACCCACAAGTTATTCACTTTTAGCAGGGGATTTGAGGGCAGAAGCTGGGTTTTGGAACATGGGGGTGCTCACTATCGTCCAGGACGTGCGCAGCAGTACGGACAACATCGGCTATGCTGCTCGGCTTGCGTGGTGGCGCTGCAAGTAGGTTAAGGTCAATAGCAGTTCCCTGAAATGGCGACCAGAACAGATCTGAGGTCTCATCGAAAAGAAAAGGCGCTATATTTGAAGGTTGACTGTTAAATATGGACCAGAATCATTGTTCTTTAGTATAGCAAGGGCGAAGAAGTGGTTTCCTTCAGGTGACCTGTCACTCTGCAGAAAGCTGTTGCTAGTTTCGGTTTCGTTGGGGCTTGCGTGCCGCCACGCGCCACTTCTTGCCCAAGATTCCATTGTGACTTCAGAGCCACGGCAACTGACTTGCCCAAAGCGAATCGACCTTCTAACCTTTTGGTGTCGCTGATTTGGTTCATGTTTAGTAATGGCATCAAAAGGCGTACCTTTTTTTTCTGGGTCCTTTGGACAACTGAGTCAAGGGGAGCCATGTGGGAAGGTTTTGAGCCTGAATGGTCCTCAATGGCCCCCAACAGTCACTATTGGGCTTCACTGGCTCCTCTTGCAATGGCTCAAAATCTGTAGATGACACGATGAAGGCGAAGGACTGTCCGCTTGCCAGAAGTGGTTCAATTGCAAGAATCCCCCGCTTGCGTCGGCATTTTTTCCCTTTCATGCCAGGTGTTGATTGTGACCTACTTGGTTCAAGCAATGCACGCTCTGAGTTGCGGGTTTCTCAAAATAGGATTCGGACCTCTTTGCGGTAGGTAAAGGGAAACCCACAGGACACCCTTTTCATTTTAGTTGCCCGATCCCTAGAAGCAGCCAAGAGTCTCGTGAGGTGATCCCCTCAGAAGTGGTGCGCACCTTCTTGGACCGTTGTGGCAAGGCCGGCTCGGATCTGGAAAAAATGTTCATCTATGTGGCTTTCGGCGACCTAAGGTGGGTTTCCAGATAAAAACCGAGATGCACCCAGCCTCACAGAACACACCCACATCGATGAAGAAGCGGGGGAAAGTAACATGAAACGGGGAACCCGTTTGTTTGTTTTTGTTATCCAGAAGCCGAAGAGGTAAAATGGCGGCAACAAAACCAGGTCGCAGTTCCTGGCCATTCCGCGGGTGCATGACATCCTATGACTGCGGAAAAAATGCCAAACAACAAGTGCCAATGCGATCTTTGTCACAATGGGACGCCCCGTTTTACTGAAAACCCGGCATTGGTCCTGCTCAGAAAACGCCCGCCCGCTCCCACACCGGTCCTTGGGCGACTTCGGATGCGTTCTGGTGTACTGTATTTGGGAGGTCCTCCAAGGCATTGGCGCGGCATTTGGGCAGTGGCGGCCGTGAAAGTTGGCCGGTGAATGATGAGTCGAGTCATCCGAAGTGGGTTTTAGGGGCTCCCGACTTTTGGGTCGGATTTCGATGCAGCTAGATGCAAGATAGACCGGCCAGAATGACTTCATTCGCAAAGGTCATACATCCAGCTTTTGATCTTGGGGGACGCCCCTTGGGGTCTGCATGTGTCCCTTTTTCAGGTATTTTAGCGTCTCCTTTTCTGGCAGGGTCGGAGGGGAAGATCTTCAAAAAGGTCCGGTCACTTCTCGGGAAGATGTCGATTTTCATCCACTGGGCAATAGCCATGCAACTTCTCCCTACTCCAAATACCCACTTATGTCTTGGGTATGCTTTGGAGAAAAAACTGTTTTTCAAGGTAAATATACCTGTTTTTTTTAGTAGAGGGTCGACATGATACCCTAAAAAAGGTGGGTAGTTGAAGTCGGCTTCTGAGCGGCTGATCCACTTTGTAGGGTACCTCGGATGACAGCGAGCCTGGAGCAAAGGGGCAGGTAAAACGTCCCGAGTCCACTCCCCCCCATCCCTAAAAAATGGGGGAGGGGTTTGGAGATTCAGCCCAACAGTGTGCACATGGGTGTCGTTTTTGAAGGGGAAAACTGAGCTGGTGGGTGTTAAAGGGAGAGCAAGAGGAAGACAACCATTTTTTTGGGGAGTCCCCACAAAGAGAGACACCCATATCGGATTCTTTCTTTTGTATCTTCTCGGTCAAAGAACTGCAGCCTCCAACATCGAAGTTCCTGTTTGGCAAAGGTTTGTGAGGGAGCCCCTTTAATGCAAGTCGAGTGGGAGGTTCGACAGATCTCCCTTTTGTTGAATTTTCCCGCTTGGGTAAACAAAAAATGGGGACCTCCCCCCCCCTCCCTCCCTCCCTCCCTCCCCCGCTCCCTCCCTCTCCTCCCTCCCTCCCTCCCTCCCTCCTCCCTCCCTCCCTCCCTCCCTCCCCTCCCTCCCTCCCTCCCTCCCTCCCTCCCTCCCTCCCTCCTCCCTCCCTCCCTCCCTCCCTCCCTCCCTCCCTCCCTCCCTCCCTCCCTCCCTCCTCCCTCCCTCCCTCCCTCCCTCCCTCCCTCCCTCCCTCCTCCTCCCTCCCTCCCTCCCTCCCTCCCTCCCTCCCTCCCTCCCTCTCCCTCGCTCCCTCGCTCCCTCGCTCCCTCGCTCCCTCCCTCCCTCCCTCCCTCCCTCCCTGCCTCCCTGCCTCCCTCCCTCCCTCCCTCCTGAAATTCCGTGCCGTCTGACCGAACATGTTCAGGAGCGCGACCTCTACACCCTGTCACCATCGGTGCCCTACCGCTGGCACAAGCTGGACGGGATGAGACCGGATCGTAGGCGGTCCTTGAAAACTCGACCCTGACACGGGGGAAGCCGGAAAAGGGCTGGGACGCTAAGGCGCATTCCTTTTAAGGGGTGCATTCAGATTTGCGCATATTCTGAGAAACTGCAATTGGGTGTGTCGATTATTTTGCCCACCCATCCCCCCAAACAAATGTGGCTGTGCTTTTGGCTTCTCTTCAAAACCGGCAAGCCCAACTTTTTCCTGGGTTGGCAACCATTTTTGGAAACGTCTTCGAGGTAGCTTTGGCCAGGTGCTGGTCAGATTGTAGCATAGGCAACCCATGAAGGGCCTTTACTGAGGGGCGTCCTTTAGCCGGGCTGTCCTCCAACATCACTTTCTATTTTAGGGTAGACTAAATCTATGTTCTGTGTAATTACCCCAGATGTTGCGGATTGTGACTTGTAGTAAGTTGGCTGGATGTGATCGTTCGAAGAGGAGTGTCGCCTTGCTGTCATGCTTGGCTATATCATGCTATATCCCAAGCTTCCGCAGATACCCGCTCAACAATTGGCTGTGGCCCAAAAAACCGGAATTCCAACATCAACCCTGGTAAGTGGAAACATGGACCAAGACCTGCGGTTTGCCCCTCCGATCGTTTAATTTTGAGCCACGGCCAATTGAGCAGCTTCTTCAGGTTGTGTTCACCCCCTTGTGGTTGAATTGTAAGCCCAGCGAGAGGGGAGTGAGGGAGATTGAGAGAGACAAAAAGCAACAAGTAAAGGAATGCATAGAGAGGAAAAGAAGAGAAACAAAGAGAAGCGAACAGAAAAGTAGAGAAAGGAAGATGAAGAAGAGAACATGAGATAAAATCATATCCAGAAGTCAATAAGGAAAGACCGACAGACATAGAGCAAAACGAAAGAAGAACAGAAAGCAAGCAAGCAAGCAAACAAGCAAGCAAGTAAGGATGAAGTCAGGAAGGAAGCAAGAAAAATGCAAAGAAAGAAAAGCAAACAAAGGAACAAACGAGCATGAATTAAGAAACAAACACAACGAAGAAAGGAAGGAAGGAAGGAAGGAAGGAAGGAAGGAAGGAAGGAAGGAAGGAAGGAAGGAAGGAAGGAAGGAAGGAAGGAAGGAAGGAAGGAAGGAAGGAAGGAAGGAAGAGCGAGAGAGAGCGAGAGACAGAGAGCTTGCCCGAACAGGCGCTGGACACTTACCTGGCATCAAGGGAAACACTTACATGGCAATGGCACAAAACACAAGGCCAATTCTGTGTGAACCAGGAGAATCAATCCCTCCGTGCGGCGCACAAAGTGCCTCACGACGTCTCCGGCGTGCTGCTCACTAGCGCCGCTTGGCGTTGAGCCTGGTATAAAGTAAGGGAACCTCAAATTGGTGCTTTCCGAAAAGGGTTCCCAAAAAAGGCAGCCCCCACTTTCTGCAAGGGAAGTCCCCTAGTGAGAAAGTTGTGGCGAATCGATTCTATTCGCTCTACTGGTAACCTCCTTGGCAGGAGTCACGGTCATTGGAAAATCCCACTTGCGGATCTTGGAACTCGTGGGTGCAATTGCCTTTGTTTCGGATCTCGCACGGACCCGTTGTCAAACATAGTGACTGTTTATATGGCTGTGGGTCAAAACCAATGGTACCATTCTGGGGTAGGTGAATTCACCACCCATTTTAGTCTGTTTTAGTGTGGATTGGGATGTTTGCTGGGGGTACGGGATTTTGGCCCATGGCCACATGGTCAAAGGCTCCCCTGATACTTGGTGGGGATAGTCGTCAAGCCCTTAAGGGGGAATCTGGACAACCATTGTGAGGGTTCCTCTTAAAGGAAGCATAACAATGATTCACGTCAGGGATTTGACCATGGCGCATACGCATGGTAGCGTTCAAATAAAATGGGAAGCCGGTCTGGGCACAAATCGCGATCCCACATGTTCTGGCTGAAGCCGAATTCAGCCTATGAAGATGAATAGTCCTTTCTCAGGGAAGCCTGATTTCAGGTTGGTGAGTTGTGAGGCACCAATTCGCGGTCACATCTTGTTTATGACAGAGACCATTTCTGCAGGTACCAAAAACCCGGTCCGTTCCCTCCGCATGTTCCATCTGTCTAAGCCACGGGGCCCAGCACATGCGCGTCCCAAGCAACCTTTCGTTTGGACCCATGAAGCTTAAGGCGTGCTTTCAAGGCCCGGGAACAACTTGCTTGCGGGTCTGACCGGTCAAATGGACGAGCTCGTCAGCCATCTACAGTACCATCACTAAAGGATGACTTGCAATACATTTTAAGTGGGGCTAAGAAAGCCCCCAAAGGGGTTTTCTGCGATGAGTTTCACCACAAGGCCCCAACAAAACCGCATGTTCGGAAGCTCCCTTCTGGGAACTGAACGACTTCCCGTGGGTTCGGCGGAATGGCTCGGCCCGGCAGTCTCGGGCGCGGCAGTTTTCTTGTTCCCAAGGCCATCTTCCAAGTGGCTGTGTCGTTTTTGCCAAACTGGTGGCTGTCCTTTCGGGGTCCCTTTAAAGCCACAAAAAGAAGGGGACCAGCCCCCCCCCAAAAAGAAACCAATCCAATGATTTGGGTACCAAAAAAAAGCGACGAGCCCTGAGGTGACCCCTCACTCCCCACCCCCGCCGAACCCGTCTCCAGGTGGCTCCCTTCCTGGAGGGCGCCCTGAAAATTAGCGACGCCCGGGCTCCCGGTGCGGTGAACATGGGTGGCGCGCCCCTTTTTTTTACAGGGGACACCCCCCCCCAAAATAAAGAACCTTTTGCTTTTGGAAAAGGGACGGGTTTTTCAAAAGGGGAAGGGACACCGTTTTTTTTTTTGAAAAGAAAAGGGCCGCATTTAAGATGAATGAATAAATACATAGGGTGTCCATTTATACAGGGGACTCTGTGTTGCTCTTCTTTTCTGTTGCTGTGGACCCGCTCTGAACTCTGTCGCAAGTACCTCTCGTATGGTTGGTTACCTGGGCGACATCGTCACTTGTGGGAAGATCCCCCCCAAACAAAAACAAAAGAACAAGTAGCCCGATATAGGGGGTTTCCTTTTGGCGTCCCTGACGCGGTGTCCGGTGTCCGGGATTATCAAGTCACACGGCGAAATGGGTGTCCGGTCATCAAGTCAACGACCCTCTTGAAATGAAAAAAAAACACGTCACGGGTCGGTTCCTCCAGCGATCGATCCGGTTCCTTAGGCCCCACCAATGTTACACTGGACCGCCCTGTCGCCCTGTCCGAATTGAAAAGCTTGAGCCTTGAAAGTGCCCGAAACCTAAAGCGATGGTTGGTTCTACCAACATAGAAACTTGAGGTTAGTAGCTTTATGCCTTGCTGTACCTTCCCTGAAACCAAGGTAGTAGAACTTGGGCATGTGTCACGAAAGACCACCACAAATGGTGTATATGATTTTGGTGTCCCTGCACATCAACTAGGTCCCCCAGTAGTGCCCTTTTTCCCTTTTTGGGGGGAGGGTTCCCCTACTAAAATAGACTACAGAAAAAGTTGGTACTCTTGTTCTAACCTCCCTACTGGAGGACCTTGTCAAACCAAAAACAAAAGGGTAGAAACTCAAAAAGCATTGCAAAGCCACCAAGAGTTGCTTGACAGTGCATGGCACAGGTGACCCAACTTGGTTTTCTCATCCCCTTTACTCATAAAGGGAATTGTGTCAACTCCAAAAGAAACACGCCTGGTTTACTGGACATGGGAATCGGTTTTGGTGGTGGGGCAGGGAGACAATTGACCATCATTAACCGTAAGGGAGAGGACATGCGTAGTGACCAATAGAAACTAGGGCTGACTCACCAAAATCCGCCCGTCAGTTGGGGACACAATAAATGTGGGCGTGCCTTTCTTTCAGGGACCCCGCCCCCCCGGAAGAAGAAGTGGGTTTTCCTTACGGTTTCCCTTTAAAGTCCACACAAACAGGAGTTCCCTCAAAAAGAGTTCAAACCCGTGTGGACAACGGCTTACCTCGTTGCCGTTCCGAGGTCCTCATGAAGATCGACGGTCGGAACATCTCCGATGACGGGCAGATCGAGCTGCGGGGGCACGAGCTCATCCAGCACAGGCGATCCGCGATCCGCGGATTTTTTCGGATTGACATGGGTTGCGGGTCCCTACCTGTACCGACAAACCGGATATGGACAGCCTGTAGCGGACAGTCTCAACCATGAATAGGTGTGGATATCCGGTCTGCGGTTTACGTAGACCCGTTCTAGTACCAGGTTTTGATTGTGACTCAGACTCCACCCCCCTCCCCTCACAGAACTTCGCCCAAGATTTCCCGACTTTGTCTAAGGGTGTTCACGGAACCCCTGTCCGCTTGTGACTATGCGGAGGTTCGCGGAAGTTCTTTGCGGAAATGCTTGCGGAATCCTGTTTGTGAAGGGGAAGTTCAGAGAAGGGGGGTTTGAGCCAACCCCCCCTGTCGAGAATCGTGTCACACCTACCACAAAACGGACAAATATGGCCATGAAGCTTAATCCTTGCAACAATTAGACTAGTTGGTGAATATGCATTTTCCATGCAACTGATGTACACCAAAGAGTGCAAGCTAATGGTTCTGACGTGCGCCCCCATAGCCAAAAAGGACTCCACAGACTCCAGTTCCTCACTCCATTTCAGTGTACACCAACCACTTTTCAGGGGGGTCCAACCATTACAATTCACAGATATCACAGCCACCAGTTGCTGCCTTTTTTTCCATGCACTTTAGCCCAAAAACCAGCAACAGTGACTGAAAAAAGCAGCAGCTTGGCAATCTAGGCATCGAATGAAGCGATGAGGTACCTCTTGCGCAACAAGGGCATCGGTGCCAAGACCACCTTCACCGTGTTCCGGGAGGGCCAGCAGGCGACTTACTCACTCGCGAGTCGACGGCGAGGAATTTCAGCGGGGAGCACGGCCGTAGTTGTGGGACATGGGGGGTTTAGGAGCCCCCAACGTAACAAATTCGTCATAGGAGTCACCTACGGCGGGATCACAGAAAGCGTATTCTAGGGCCCCCAGTAGTGCCCTTTGTCCGTTTCTTTTTTGGAGGAGGGTTCCCCTACTAAAATAGACTACAGAAAAAGAATCGGGCACCCTTATTCTAATTCTCTCTACTGGAGGACCTAGGATTTGTTTGATCCACGACCATGCCCACCGCTCTCTAAAATTGGCAGACCGATGGCTCGCCAGAGGCAGCCAAAAAAAGGCCTCGACTCACCAAAGTGGCCTCAACTCGGTGTGCACATTTTTTCAACAAGAGGACACCGCTTGGACGGGGTTTCCGAGCCATTTCAACCGTTTTGGAACCTCCCGAAGTGGCGATCGTTTCAATGGAAGGCACCCGCTGTTGAAGGGGAACTCCAGTGGTCCTCTGTTAGACCCAAGAGGACAGTTTCGGTCAAGCACTTTAGGTCAGTTGGGGGCCCCTTGAATATCCCAGAACAAATGCCCAGTTGCTGCTTGAACTACCCAAGAAGGAAACATTAGCACCTTTGCTCTTTTTAAACCATGCTTTATTCAATGTGAAAGTGAGTAGAGGGAGCACTCCGGAAATATATGGATTGTGCCCAGTTGCGCCACACCTAAAGTTCACCATGTAGAAGGCCAATTTGAAACAGGTAGAGGTCCGACTTTTTCCTTTAACAACCTGGTCAGGTACAGGAATGGTTCTTTACGAAGGTACAGGTCCGACTTTGTGGGGGGAGGTACAGGAACTGGCTCCACTCCGGTAGACTGCAGAAAAAATCTGGACCTAGGGAATTTGCCCAATTTTATTTCCTTTCAGGACCCCCCTTCCTTCCCCCCTTGTCAGCGCCCGAGCTGCAGCACCCGCCACCCCGCCTCGCGCAGCCTTCGGTAGGTGCAGTGCCCGCCGGTGGAGCTCAAAGATCTGCCGCCCATCTGCCCCAGGTGGCCGGATGTGGATTACCTCCCAGAGTCCGGAGACCCAGAGCCAAAAAAAAAACACCGAGACCCCATGATTTGTTTTTCTTGTTCGGTCCCTTGCGGCGTTGGTCAATTGGGATTGTTCAAGAGTTGGAACCTGAAGTGATACCGAAAAAGCTGATGTGGAACCTCTTGTTCCCCCCTCACCTGAGTTCCGTGGGCCCGTCATGGGTTCTCTTGGGTTGTGTTTCAGCTTTCTGGCTGTTCAATCGCTGATGCTTTTTTAATGTCCTCCAAAGGAAACCACACAGAGGACGCATGATGGTTTGATCTGTACTGGCAAGCCAGCTCTCCCTCAGACAAAGGAAGAAAGCCCTGAAGGACCGCTCCAGCTTAGTGTTCCTACATGTTTCCCTTCTGTAAAGCAATTCATTGCTGGTTCTCCGTAGGGAATGAGGGACTGCCCAACAAACACAGTTTCTTGTGGTTTGCTTCTTGGGGATGTTCAAGGTACATAGAAAGTGCTGTTTCACCACGTTTCTAAGTGGGGTGACTGGGGTTTGCCCCCTTACCATGGTTATTACAACATACTTACTGGCCTGAACACAGCAGGTTCATTCCCAAAACCCTTGTCCCTGTCGCGGGTCAAGCAGGTTTGTCGCAATATGGTTGGGGTCCTTTTGGTTAACACCCAAATCAGGGGTTGCTCCACTGCAAAATTATTGTATGCCATTGTATAAGCATAGGCTTGTCTATAGAACATGTGACTTTCGGCGTACCCAGCGGGCCAAAAAGCTTTGCCGTGGACCAGCATCAAACATGTGTATGATTGTTTTGCGTTGGGGGCATATGACCATCGGTAAAACTCATGTAATATTGCCCACCTAGGATTCTCCCCCACATTTTTTATGTAGGGACATTTCTGCCCACCTGGGATTCTCCCCCAAACTTTTTGTGTAGGGACATTTCTGCCCACCTGGATTCTCCCCTGTAAAGTGCGTTTACATTTTATGTAGGGAAGCAGAATCAAAGTGTGTGGCTGGTACCCCAGACATGGCCCACGATACCTCAAGCCTCCCGTGCGACGTTCTCGCTGCAGGTACGTGATCCTGGGCGCCCTCGCGCTGGTGCCTTTGGCGCAGGGGCATCACTGGTACAAGGCGCTGGGGGCCCGCGCCGCCGGTTTTCTGTGTTTTGGTTGGGGGGGCGGGGGGAGGGGGGGAGGTGGAGGCGACGGTTTTTTTGTTGTTGCTAGGAGTGGCTCGCAGCTTGGCAAGGGCTCCAAGGCTGGTTGGCTGGCTGGCTGGCTGGCTGGCTGGCTGGCTGGTTGGTTGGTTGGTTGGTTGGTTGGTTGGTCGGTCGCAGCAAAAATACAAATAACACCGCCCCTTCAGTAACAGTAAGCACAGCTGAAACAAGCCCCAAAGCCTGACGCAAGCCAGCCCGAAGCCACCCCAAGTTTACCCAAGTTCAACCATAAGCAGCTAAGCTCCAAAAACAACGGAGGGCCATTGTTTTAAAGGATTTGTTTGATGTTTGTGTCTTTCTGGGTGGGTGGCTTTTCGGCTTCTTGGCTTTCGTGGCATTTACGTGGTTTCCGGCTTTTCATTTCGCATCCTCTGCATTCACAGTGCCTCTCTGTTTGGCTTTTGTAGCTTTTTATTGGGTTTACGCGGCTTTTGCGGCTTTGGCTTTTCGCATCCTCTGCATTACAAGTTCCTCTCATAGCTTTTCGGCTTTGTGGCTTTTGGCTTTTCGCATCCTCCGCTTTCCACAGTTGGCTTTTTGGACAGAGATTTAATTGCACCCCTATTTGAAGCATCACTTCTTCAAACACCATGGGGGGGGCTGCCACTCCCCCCGCCCTCCGAAACCCCCGCATTTCCTTTTAGACTTTTTGTAGAGATTTAATTTCACCCCTATTCGAGTCATCACTTCTGCGAACACCATGGGCCCCAGCCCCCCCGCTACTTTTTAGTTGTTTTGCCTCAAATTGAATCATCACTTCTTCAAACATCATGGGGGGGCTGCCGCCCCCCCCCCAACCCCCCCGCTACTTTTTAGGTGTTTTACAGGAATGAAGTTGCAACCGTGTTTGAATCCTCGCTGTTATCATCATGAGGGGGACGCTGAGGATGGGGATGTTGGCTGGACATGCGGGGGGATGTTGAAATCGATGCTGATGATGTTGACGGGCTAGTGGCCTGTGTTGCGGTGGCAACAGAGCCCGGCGATGCTGGGGATGTTGCCCTCCACTCGCCCTCTCTTGGTCACAGTCACGGTGCTCACGTAGCCACTTCTTGTAGCGAGCCACTCCTGACAAAAAGCCACTCCTAGCAAAAAAAAAACCGTCGCGACAGGGGGAGGTGGGGGCAGGGGGGAAGGGGCATGTGACCGGTTTCCTGTCAGGCGACCCTTAGTTGGTGGTTTGGATTTGTTGTAGAGGGTGAATGGGAAACCCCTCCGTAACCACCAAATCACCAATCCAAGCCACATGGGTGCCCGTTGCAGTGGTTTATAGAGATTAAGCATTGAGATTGGCAACCCATTTTGAAAGGGGGTGACCAAGTTGGGCCTTGAGATTCGGTGCAATATTGCTTGTTTCTGTCGGTCCCTTATGGGGCTTTTTTTTAGTTGTTACCCTTTTTGGGGTGGTTTTGAGGGGAAACCAACTGGAAAACCGAAGCCAATTTGGAGGGGTCCTTTTCAGCAAGACAGGTTTCCCTCAGTTTCTGTGCCCAGCTTATTTACACGAAAGAACAATTGAACTTATGTGGGCGTGTATTTTGGAGGATACCCCTTTCAGATTGGCTCAATCGGAAACCAAACAGGAGCCCACCGCCTTTGGGGTCCTCTTTCGGCCCCCTAGTTGTCAAACACTCATAAGAACGAATACACATGAAAAAAGTTAGTCAAGAATGCATAATTTAATCAGCAGCAAACAGTAATATAAGACACTACGTATGAATCAAGAGCATATTGCTTGGCTGCTACAACTGATTATCAATTAAGTAGTTTAGACAATATTTGATTATATTCACATGATATTGTTGAATCAGAGTATTATCTAATTACTGGTATATCACACACCCACGAGCTCACTTTCTCCAGTCACTGGTGAGCTCACTGACCCCCCGCCCCCGCTCCCCAAACTGTTCTTTGGCACCGATTGAATCCTTATGTTGGATAGGTGCCATGTAGATGCCCCCAAGAACCATCCAAAACGCTTCCCCTTTTACCGGGCTGGACATGTAAAGCACCCCTCTAGAAAGGAAGGAACCTTTGATTTGCTGTTTCCTCCTCTCACTTCCCCGGTTTATGCATGACACACAAATGTGAGGTTGAATATCTTTGGCCAGCCCACTCAAGTGAGCCTTGGTGTTCTTTATCTCCTCTTTCCAGTTGCAAGTTTCTCCACGTTTCGATTTTTGTTGGGTTTCTGTGGTTTTCCATGGACCCAAGGGTGAGCTCAAACAAGACGCCTATGTGGTTGGGGTTGCCTGGCTTGGTTGCTGCTTGGTTGGTTGGCTGGTTGGCTGGCTGGCTGGCTGGTTGGTTGGTTGGTCGGTGGGTTGGTTGGTTGGTTGGTTGGTTGGTTGGTTGGTTGGTTGGTTGGTTGGTTGGTTGGTTGGTTGGTTGGTTGGTTGGTTGGTTGGTTGAACAAGAGTCGCAACGTTCAGGGCGAATTTCCCCCAACCAGAAAACCAGACAAAAACAACAAGAAACCACCTGGAGGGGATATGGCCCCGTCCCCCCGGCCCTTTCCAGCCCCCCCCCCCCCAATAGAAAACGGCGCGAGGAGTGCCCGGTGGAGCTGAAAGCCACCATCGACCGCTGGAACAAGCGCTGGCCCGGCGACCGCGATGGCAGGGACCGAAGCCGGGGATTTGGGCGTGGCCATGGCTCCATGCCAGGGGGGTGCTGGCCTGGGGGATTTGGGGGTGGGGGGGGGGCGTGCTTTTTTGGGGGATTTGGGGGGAGCGTGTCCCTGGCAGGGTTGGGGGGGGTTGGCTGAGGCGGGGGTTGGGGGTGGGGGGTGGGGGTTGGCTCACTCGCTCGAGCTCCTCAGGTTTCTGCGTTGGCCACCTAATTGGTCCCGCTTGCGGATATGATGAGAAAGGCCCCGTGCCATTAATTGGTCCCGTTGGCGGATATGATGAGAAACGGGCTATTTGGGTGTGTCTCTGTTTCGGTTGGACCTCCAGTGGTGTTCCGGTTGTTTTCCCTTTGAAAGAAAACACAAAGCAAGGGGTGCCAACTCAAAAAAGACACCCATATGTACCGTCATCTTCTGCAAGGGGGGGATGTTGGAAAACTCACCAAATTACCATCAAACAATCTAGCACTTTACCCACCTCAATTTGCAAGGGGACATCACATTACTCATGTGTCCGGCTTTGAACAAGCAGCGACTCTGGGAAACCATTCCACAACCAAACCAAGCCATATACGGGGAAGCTGATATTTCCGCTCAGCTGGAAGACATGCCTGGTAAAACTGTCCGTTGAGGGTCTGGCATTGACTGGTGTGACTTACACAAGACGTGGCATGAAGCAGACTTCTTTTCAGGTAACTCTTAGGTTTGGATTGGTGGTTTGGGATAAGGCTTTGACCCCCTGGCTTTTGTGGAGGGTAAATGGAACCCCCTTCCTTGACCACCAACCCACCAACCAAACCACCAATTAGACAGAAGCTGATCTTAGGCGGCCATCGCAACTTGTGGCGGCTGCGTGGTTGATACAGCCCTGACCTTGATGAATCCCGGCTCTTCTGCGTTTGGCAGCTGGTCATCGTCGGCTAATATGTCGGGAGCTCTGCGCTTTACTGCAGGTGCTGCTCAGCCCCGACCCGGAACGCAAAGCGAAGTCCGAGGGCACTGCAGTTTGTGCAAAGGGAAATCGAGACGTATTTGTGCCGGGAATGATTGCAGACATGGCAGCAAGTTGTCAATCTTCGCAAAAAGTGAAACACACACCAACAAGGAGGATGCTCCTTTTTTGAAGGAGGGTCAGAAAGATAAGCACCTTCTTCCTAACCTCACCCGAATAAGGCCTTGTTTAAACCTTTCTTTGGGACAAAACGGGTTCAGGCGTCCCCAACTTTCTCCAGACAATCAGGGAAGCGACGCTTCCAGTGGCGCCCTTTGTTTGGGAAGGGCTTGCCCTTAAAATCAGCTCCCCAACAAATCCGGGTGCCCTTTTGTCCCATTGGAAATCCACTGGTTAGGGCGCACGTGCTGTAGCAGTGGAATTCGTTCAAGATCACGAAAGTTTCTCAAAGAATCTTTATTAATGGCTATGGCTGGACCTTTGGACTAAAGTTAAACGTTTTGCAGAGGGGTCAGCAGCAACCAAGAAACCGCCGCGGTCCCGTCATCTTCCCTTGGTTTTCCGGATTGGTGGATTCAACGCAATTGTTTCTCCGCGCGTTGGGAAGGTACCCAACCTCCAAACCACCAATCCAAACCACCCCTGAGGGGTAGTATGAAACAGAGTCAAAACAGTGCTCTTGTCCTTTGCTCTCGAGGAGCAGCTGGTCCTCTTGGTCACCGTCTTCGCCCACGAACTGACCTTCGGCGCGCCCGCCCGGAGGGGTATTTGTTCTCGCTCAGGGATTTGTTTGAGAGGAAACGCCCTTTTGGGGGGGGACCCGTCGACCCACTTCCTGAGTTCATGAACTTTCAACTTTTTGGGAAGACCCTTTTAGCGGCAAAATATAAAGATTGGTTACTTTTTTGGGGCATCCACTCAGCCAGTGAGTTGGGCAAGGATTATGGTAAGTGGGTCAGTCTATATTGCATCGATTAGTTTGTTTGTGCTCAGGGAATCGTTTGAGGTGACTTGGAAGCGGACCCCTAGGACAATTAGAGGCTCATTCCAACGCGTTTCCTGAGAACCGAAAAGCCGTCCTTCAAACGCGAACATCGCCCCTCACCATTTGCACAGCTGGAGTTGTTTGGTGGATTCCACCCTCTAATTCCACTTTGGAGAGGATTCAGTCTAAAAATGGAAGCCTACATTTGCTCATCAAGAATATGTTGCTTACTTTCAGGCAATCCATCACGGGCATTGCGGGCATATGTTTTGTTTAGGGGACGAGAACGCAAATGGAACATCTTGGCTCAAGGGTGGTCTGACCAGGGCACTTGGAACGTAAGACGAGAAGCCTTTGGCCCCAGAAATGGGGTCGTGGAGCCGACCTCACGAGCCGACCTCACCATTGCTTGGTAAAAGTCAGGAGCACAGGTGTCCTTTTTAGGATAGTTTGACTAAACATAGATGGCACCGGCGCACCGGTTTAGGTGGGGTTTCTTCCTCAGGGCCATCTAGTTTTCCAAAAGGCCACCTATGGTCAGGAGGCCGCTTGATCTCTATGACCAAAGGCCTGCAGACAGACTCTTGGACTTGTTCGAGGTCGTGTTCGACTTTTTGCCAAGGCTTGGAGCAACCTAGAAATCGGGCGCAACGAAATCATAAGGCCAGCATAGGATTCCTTGGCACCTGGCCATCCATAAGAAAGGGAGTTCGTTTCCCAAAATCATGGGGTGCTGTCCCTGTTTTTAGGCAGTTCTCAGTAGCTTCCACCTGAACAAGGGGAGTTCGGGTGCGCTGGGCTTGAAATTCCAACGATCACATCAGCGCCATGAGCCAATTTGCCACAGAGTGCTTGACCAGGTCAACATAGTCAACATATGGGTGTGGCTCAAAATCAGGGAGCTGGGACAAACCGCAGAGGACCAGGTCTTTGGTTCCATTTACCTCTTGGTGCCCCAAATGGTTTCCGCGTTTTGGTTGAACGCCGGGTTGGCCGAGGCCCGGTTTCTCTCACGCAAATTGAGCCACGCGGACGTCATGTCGCTGGACCAAAACCGAAGAAGGGATGGAGGGGGGAACCCAAACAACACTTGGGCTCCCGGCCCTCCCCTAGCCCCTCCCCCAGGCCAATGATTTGTGTAACTACATAGATGGATATGTATATATAATATATATCTATCTAGTAATATGTATATATATATATATATATATGTATATGTATATATATATATAAATGAGTCTGAAGTCTGTACAGCCTTCGTTCTTGTTGGTTTCAGGTTTCTGTCCCATGCATGAGATTGCAATCAACAAATCGGAGTTGCAATCTTATACAAAAAAAACATCTAGTGCCCCCCACCCCCAACAGAAACACCTTGTCCACACATATATCTGAATGTATATATATATATATATTTAAAGTAGGTGTAAAGTAGGCTCCCCGAAAATAACCAACCTTCTCCACAATAGATATACATATATATATATATATACATTGAGCATGTTTCCAGGCGACCGCACATCAATTCCGAAGTCTCCAGGCTATCACCGGGGCTGGCGTGTGGTGGAAAGCCTTGACCTCAGATGCGACCTATCCCGATCCGTGCGCCCCGGAGGCCATTTTTTCCCAAGCCGCAGGCTCGGAATTTCGGATTTGTTTTTTTGGCTTTTTTTTTGGGGGGGGGGCTGGTTTTACGCCTTGTGCGCATTTACCAGGACAGCCCAGTTTTGGGGTTGCCCCATTTTTGACCAACTCACCTATGTCAGCACAACCAGCGGTGGCAACGTCTTGCCAGAGCAAAGCCTCGGGCTAGGAATGCTTGCTTTCTCTCGGGCATGCTCTCAGGTAACCCGAACAAGTATTGCGCCCAACGAAGAAATCGCCGACCGGAAGGTTATGATAGGTAAAGGTGTAATTAGCCTTGGGCCACTCATGGGTGATGAATCAATCTCAAGTATCTCCCCAATAGAACTCTTCCCAACCGTGGACGAAATGCTGCACTACTTTCAAACCACTGTGCAAACCATTATTTGTTGGTGTTTACAGGGGAATCATCATTCCAGGGTTTCTTAGGTGGTGCCAAAAGGATTTCGTCTATCCACAGTATTCTTTAATCAGCCCATTGGCCAGGCGCAAGAACCGTCAAATCGAAAATATGCTACTATAGGCCCAATTGAAAGTGGTTCCATCTACCGGGTGTTGTAGGTAACCATGGGAACCCCTGAAAAATCAACTGGAACATGGAGAAGGCGTACCTACTGTAGTGGCAAGTGGAATCCATAGACTTCAACATTTGAATTTCTAGTCAAACATCAGCTTGTTGCTTGTTTGGAGAGGTCCCTATCTCAATGGGTTGGTGGTTCCAAAATGGCTGGTTTGGAATTGGCGTGGTATTACCTAATGTTTATTGAGGGGGGTCTGGAACAAATGCAGCCGTCATGTATGAATAGGGGAAGGGATTACACAATTGGTTTGACATTTGAACTCGTTGTCTCAATGAAATTGGCGCGTCTCCTTTCTTCCAAACCATCCAGCCGCACCACGAATCAGGCTCAACCGGCGCTTCAATGAACATGAGCGAGCTTATGACTTCGGGGTTCTTTGACACAGGGCTCCTTAAAAGATCTCCATTTTGCAACCATTTGAAGCATGGCTTTCACCACCAAAATAAAAGGAAACCACCATTTGCAATGCAATGTTCAGGTGTATAATGTAAGGATCCCTGTTTCACAAGTGTACTTGTCAGGTTTCCTGAGGACAGAGCCGAAGGATACACGTGGGCCATGGTTACGGGAGTCGTTCTAAAGCCCAGTGGTGGCCTATGTTTGGACTCCCAGTTACCCAGTGGTGCCCTGTTTCCTTGTTTTTGGGGGAAGGGTGTCCACAGGAGCTGGTCATGTGGCAACTTTGGTGCATTCTGCTTGGATGTGTTAGGACTTTAACCTTTTGCCAACTAATGGTTTTTCCATGAAACCACTAAAAGTTAAACCTTTAGCAGGGGAGCAGAAAGCAACCGAGGTAAACTCACATCCACCAGCTATTGAAGTTGTGAGTTCCTGTCCGGAGCCATGTGCTACATGGTCACAACATGGAATCCCAACCCCCACACTCGAACATTCCACGCCTTTTCTACAGTTGCTGTTGCCGGGAAAGCAGGGTTGTGGGATCAAGGGGTTTATCCTCACTTCTGTGATGCAAGGGAACCCGCGTTTCTATGAACAAATTAGTCTTTGGGAAGCCCTTTCTGTTGTATCACAGAAGTGGATTCCATTTCCCACAGCCCTGCGAGAAGTGTTCGGGATCCTGAGAGAAAGTCATGTTTCTTTCCTTGGCGAGTTGTCGATCGAGGCTACAACGGAACTCCCATCACCTCTCTACGTCATGTGCGGGACTTGTGGCACGAAACGTCCGGGCGCCAAGGAGAGACGCCACATGTGTGTGTGTACGGAACGAAAACATATCTAGACATGGTTGTTGTTGGGAAACATTTTACATTTTTGCTTATTAGGGTTTAGTGGGAAATCCCCACTTAACTGCGTTTTTTTTGTTTTTTGTTTGGCTCCCCTTCCAACGTCAACCAAGTAGAACCGTTTTACTCAGCAGGAAGAGCCATCAAGTGATTCCCCACGTGGTTGTTCTCCCATTGTTAAAGTTGCGGAGGCCCACGCATTGTCACTCGCTACAATGGTCTACATTTTTTTTCTGCCGATCCACTTGGGAACAAAAAACCCTGCACTGCTTCCTGTGGTTTATATCCTTGGCTTACTTAAAGACCTATGTGCTATGTGCTATGTGCAGCGGACATCCGTTTCAGCCTTCATCCCACAGCTTGAAGCTGAAGGTGTTTGATTGATTTACAAGTTTTGAGAGGCGGCCCGAACTGAGAGGGACACAAAAAAGCCATGAACTACCTAGGTGGTGGTGTTCTTTTGAAATCCATAGCTTGTGAAATCTCCATGGGGGAAGGGGAGTGGTAGTCTCAGAGTTAAGTCTAAAACGAATTTCAGGGTCGATTTTGGGGGGGATTCTCAAAAAAGATCCTTTCCGGTGGTTGAATGTTTGAACCCGCAAAAAGGAGGGTCACTTTGAGGATGTTCCCTGAAAGGACGAACAAAGATTGCTGGGCAAATTCTGTTCACTGAATAGGAAGCAGCACACCTTCACGAATCCGCTTGTGGCCCTAGTGCTCTGAACCCAAAAGGGGGTTGATGAAAGGAAAGCCAAACGAAAATATTGGCTCCCCGATTTTGACACATAGCCATGTGTCAGAAATACTCTGGGCAACATGCACTTCGCACCCGTTGGGATGGATGAAACCCCACAACAATCCACCTACCAACTGGTCTCAGGGCAAATTCTTTGAGGGTGCAATCGGTATTGCCGCTGAAACATGTAAAGCAAACACAGTTATTGTAATTTTCCGGGGCAGGGGGGGTCCGGGTGACATGTTGATCGCCGCTGAACACTCAAAGGTACAAAAAGGAAGAGCCAACTCCGGTGGGCAGGGGAAAACCCTTTTCCTTTGGCTCCTGCCCTACAGCAAGGCTTGGGAGTCTTGGGAGCTAGCTTTGCCTCACTTGTGAACTGCGAGAAGCAACTAACCAGCCAACCCAAGCCAAGCCAACACCCAACCAACCAACCAGCCAACCAACCAACCAACCAACCAACGCCAGCCAGCCAGCCAGCCAGCCAACCAGCCAGCCAGCCAACCAGCCAACCAGCCAACCAGCCAACCAGCCAACCAGCCAACCGGCCAACCGGCCAACCCACCCACCCACAAACCAACCAACCAGCCAACCAGAAGCCCGGGGCCGTGGTCTTGAAATCCGGTTGCGAGTTTTCGATCGAGGCGAGAGAAGGTGCAGGAGGCGGTCGGGAAAAAGCCCGCCCGGTGCCCCGACCCCCGACCGTCGTGTTTGGGTGGCTCAACCTTGCCCAACCACACACGCCCAAATGGCGTGGCTTGTTGTTTGAGGGTACCCGTTTTGGAGTTGGTTTAAAGGGAAGCCAAGAGAAAACCATGTCTTATGAGGGTACCCAAATGACCACTGGATGCCTTTTTTTTCGCCTTTTGGTTGCTTTAAAACCTGGATATGCGCAAAAATCTGGGATTTGGCCCCCTAACAAATAAGGTTTCCGTTTAGTTTGCCTTCAAACCAAGCTGAACAGGACACTCTAAAAATGGCAAGACACACACCAGGAACATCCCTGTCCGGTGCCTGTGGCCCTTTCCCACTGTCCAAACACCGATCCTAGCACCACGAGTCATAGCGACTTTTGAAGAGAAGGGAGCCCGTTCTGGTAGCCTGATAGGCAGCACAGACCATGAAGGTTGGGACAAATGTGATTTGCGGTCCACCTCCTGCTCCTGGAGCAGCACATGACAAGCAGCGGCAGCGGCTGCATCAGCAACATGAACCACATGGTGCCCGGTGGTTGCAACAACAAGATGACTGCCTTACTTGCAGTGCTTAGGCTTTGGAGCCTTACTTGCAGCGCTTCAGCTTCGGATTTGCGGATCTTTCTCAAAGGGAGGGGAGATTTGTTTGATGAGCTGCCAAACGTATGGATGGCTCACCTTTATGGAGTTGGACCCCCAAAACGGTCGGTCTTCCTTGTGGTTGTTAAACCAAACAGGGGTACCCTCAAAAAGACACGCCATCCAGATGGCATTCTTTTTAGAGCACCCAAATTCAACAAAAAAGCCACCAGGGTTCCAAGCATCTTGGCAACGCTAAGCAACCCGACTGTCTCTTAAAGGGAGCCTTTGTAAAACCCAACCCTATAGGACCCCCCCAAAACATGTACGTTTTTCTCAAGCGTGCCCTTCTCACGCTTTGACGGAAAACCAGAAAGAATGCGTTTATTTAGGGGGTTCGGATGCTTTCATGGGAAGGCTTGTTGTCTACACTCCCTTGGGCTGGTTTTTGGGAAAACCGCACCGACCAAAGGAAAGCAACCAGTTCGGTCCCAATCCCATTTTTACACACACACACACACCCAGCTGGAGGCAGACGTAAAGCTTGGGACGTTTTCAAGAGGAGTCCGAAACCCGAGTGCGCCAGCTTCCAGTGAGAAAAATATGGTCCAAATCTGTGCGGGATATCCCCATGTTTGGGGGATGTTTAAACTATTTTCGGGTAACCCCCCAATTGGTGGTTCCCAGACGCTCCCGATTGACTTTGGGCCCTCAAACATCCAGGTTTTGAGACCCCAAAACCCCTCTGGGGTGTCCAATGGAGGGTCTGGGTCTTCCATTGGAAGCCCCGAAGCCCCAGGAGCGTCTGGGTTTGGGGATTTCGACCCCTTGAGGGAAATGGGAAGGCCCGAATTCTCCCACCGAACTCGGCTTGTGACCACAAGTTGAGGGAAGCTGAGCTGAAAATGGCGCGCCTGCGCGTCTTCTTTTTGGCCGGTGCCCCTTTTTGGCGGCTTTCAGGGAAATGTTTCAAAGGGCGCCAGCCTTGCGCCAGGGGTGTGTGTCCATAGAAAAGGCGACTCTCACCCAAGAAGCTTTCAGGAGACGCCGGCGGCGAGCCCTACGAAGTCGCCCAAGCCCCGCCCTGAGCCGCTGACGCACCGAGGTCACGGAGAGTTTGTTTCCAGCCCGACCTAAGATGAAACGCAAGGTTTGCCCAGGAGCCTCTGCAAATGATGGTGTTTTTTGGTGAAAGGCTCGCCCGAAGAGAAGCTGCCTCTACAAAAGGGGTTCCATGTTGGGATTTTGCTGGGACTGCCCCTTACCCTTCATGTACCCAAGTTTGGTCGTGGCACAATTGACGAGGTTGCTCAGGAAATGTTCCCTGCTGTGGATGGACAGAATTCACCAGCTTTTAGGTGGTTTACCCGTATTCAAACGGCTTCTTTCATCCTAGATGGTAGTGGATTTTGTCCATCCTAGATGGTTATGCGGAGCAAAAATGATTCCTGGACGGTACTGTACCCATGCTGCGTGATCTGCTCGTGGGCTCAGTGCTCGGCTTTGCCCCACAACATCAGATCCAACCCCTTCACCCCGCACCCGCTTCGTCCCGGAATTCCTCAGGAACGCCTTGGGGTCTTGTTTTTGTGAAGCGGGATTGGGGGGGGTTAGGGGAAGGGCGTGGATGCTGTGTGCTGTGAGCCCGGATGCCTAGGCCGGAACTTGGCATCTTCGTTCGCACGGCCGCCCAGAAGGGACTTGGAACTAGCCCTGACTCCTGACAAGCGCTGTCTTGGCCACAATGCGTTCACCTTTGAGGTGTATGAGATACTACGTAGTTCCAAAAGCTAAAGGCGACTCCAAATTGGGAATCGACCGAACTATAAGCGGAGTAAGGCTGAATGCAATCAACAATACCCTCTGAAATGGTTGGACACAAATCCCCATATAAATAATGTCCACCAAAGGGGTCCCCAATTAACATTCATACCGTGCCCATCTCGAAGAGACGTGCGACTCCTGTTCAGCAGTCATCCAGTTCAACACTCGGACAGGAAACTTAGTGGCCCTTTTATGGGATCCACAAGTAGGTGCACCAGTGCCTCTTTGTCGCTTTAGCACCACAGCACTTCTGATGCCATTGCCCACCAAGTTTTCCGGTGAGTGTCTCTTCGTGAAATCAAAATGGTGAGTGGAAATATAGGGAGCCCTGTCGTTCTTTGATTGATTGTCTGTGTTTCCTTGCAACAGGCATGCAACTGCATGTGAATTTCACTTGGCTTCTCGCAGTGTTGACATTGGGTCTGTTTTCTCATGCGTTGGGGCCATTCTAGCGGCCCCAGTGGAAATCCAGTGAGCTTTAAATCCAGTCAGGGACCTTTGTTGACTTTTTAGGGAGAACATGAGAACACCCCGGTCTTTGGCTCCTGCCGGATGTCCCTGATTTGTTTCTAATGGACTTTTTTGGATTTTATCTCTGGACTGTGGGAGGTGCCTGGAATGGTCGACAGCTTCAAAAGTAACGGAGTGCTTACCCCTGAATGGGACAACATCCGGGCGAATGTGTTGGGGTGATTGTATTTTAGGGGGTCGAAAGCCTTGAAGCCATATCTGGGCCATAAGGCGGGCCTTAAAAAATGCGGTTTTCTAAACCAATCTTAAGGGTCCCTTGAACCGTATCCCAAACATGGTACCAACAACACATCCATAGGGGGGAGGGGCGTTCCCGTATCAGCATGTGTCAAAATCACCTCTCCCCCCACCCCAAAACAAAAACAAAGAGACTGGTTTCCTTTGACGGTTGTCTTGCCCAAAAACAGGCAGTGCCAACTCCAAAACCACAGTTGGCTTCAACCCTCACCAGTTGGAACCCTTACCAACCAACCCCCAACCCCAAACGGGTTGAACCCTCTCAACCGCTTCGCCCGGTCGCTTCGCCCCCGCTGACCCGGAGTCGCCTCTGCCGCGAGTCGTCTGTCGTAGGTCTCGGCTTGCAGAGCGACGACGACATCGTGCTGGACGCACTCGCGGCCATGGAGGCGGAGCCAGGGGCGCCGGCCTCAGCTGGAAAACGGCCTTAGCGCTCCGGACGCTCGCGCGCCAGCTGCTCCGGCCGCTCCAGCTGTGGCCGCTCCGCGAGACACAATATGTTTTTATATATATTTTCAGTGTTTTATTGCATGCCACATTCTAGGTGTTGATCATGGGGGGGTGACTAACTAGATTTTTAAAAATTTCTATATATATATATATATATATCAGCCAGAAGGCTGAAATGAGGGGGTTCCAACCCTAGGCGTCCCGGCTAGGTTGTTGACAGCAGTCCTGAGAGGATTCGCTTTAACACGTTTAACTCCCAGAAGGCTGAAATGAATCGCTTCCAGGTTGAAATCTTGTTTTGTTTTTGGGGGAGAATCGAATCATTCCAGAGGGTTTCTGGTGCGAAATGGATTTCGTCCATCCACAGCAGGTGTCCCTTTCTAGGCTAGCTTGACGGGCTGAAGCCGGGTGGAAGTGGTTGGGGGAACAGCATTCCTTAAAGGTTAACACGTTTAACGTCCATGTGCTGAAGACCCTAAAGGGGTATGTTTCTCATTTTCCCTGGTAGGTTCTTGAAGGGAATCGATTTCACTACTGGAAATATGTCCGCTCTTTTCTGGGGGCGAAAAAGCAAATGGAAGATTGGTGTCCTTTTGATCTCTATTAATAAGAAAGGAAACCATATAAACAAAGATACGCAAATAAGATGTAGAAATGATAAAGAGGTAAACCGCAAATGAAGCCAAGAAGAAAGCTATCTTTTCTATCCTTTCATTATCTTTCTCTTTTCAACATCTTGATTACAATGAACAAATATGAAAATGAAAGAAGTACATAGACAAGTTGTCCATCTCCGTTCCAAATGAAATAGTCCTTAATTGGTGGTTATTTGCTGTCTATTTCTTCTCCAGTTCATTTGGCGAAAAATCGACAATAAATGGGTTCCGCTGTTTTTGATGGGCCAGCCATTCTTCGAAAAGGTCACCTATGGACACGAAGTTGTTCTCTTGGCGTGACCACCGGTGTCTTCCAAGAAAGCGCTGCAGCTTTTTCTGGTTGGTTTCCTATCACTACTGGAAATATGTTCCTTTGTTTTCCAAGGGGGGCTTCAGCAAATGGAGAGTGTGAAAGGGACAAAGCGACATATAATGGGCTAAATGGTTACCAATGATTAGCTCACATCATAAGTGTATTTTGCATTCAAAGTTCCCCCCCCCAAACAAAAAAAGATCAGCAAAACAAAAACACTATGCCAATAATGACCCCTGCACCAGGGTGAAACAATTCCCATACATATATATATATATATACATATATATATACATATGGGTAAGCAACGGGGAAGACTGGCAATGCCACTAGCTTTCACTCAGCTGTACTAAGACTAGCGAAACTCGCACAAGTTACTCTTTTTTGAGCTTTGGGAAGTAGCCACATAGCTCATTTGTTCTTTTTTTCTTGGCAGGGGCGTTCTTTTCCTTTTCGGGGGGAGGTGGTGATTCTGCTTTTATTTGGGTTTCAGTGCTGCTGGTTCAGCTTGGTTTGGGTCTCAGGGTGTTTGCCTTTTTTGCATGTGTGTTTTGGTTGTGGCCTTGTTTTGCCATGTTGTTTTGGTTTCTGCCAGGTTGTCCCGATTCCTACTTTGAGACAAACCCTTGACAAGTTCTTTGTGCTCATCTTGTCAGCTGCTGCCTTGCCCTGCA